TGACAGACAAGCATCAGCCATCTCAAGTCCACAAGACCACAAGTTTATATCAATTTCATATTGGGGACAAGACCAGAGATCCTTAATGGAGAAAAGTGGTGACAGGCCGTTTTTTTAAACATGGTAACTGTTAATTGATGGTTCAAGGTAGTTTAGATTCACCAATATGCTCTACCAGGTTCAAACCAGGACTACTAGTCCATTTAATCAGTCAATGACAATAAATGACCAGCTTGAACCAGTTAGAAATCAAGTTGACCAAGGTGGTCTTCTAGGTCAAAACCAGCTGGTAGTCCATCTGCCCTATCTAGACTAGCTTGGACCACTTACTGACCAGCTTAAACCACGTACAAACCATGTCGAAAGTAAGTAAAATTCTGTCATCATTTATTCACCCTGCTGTTGGTCTCAACAACAATAGACCCCACTGACTTTTATTTTATTTAGAAAATTTGCCCACAGAAGAATGAATGCCAAAGAGAATTGAAATTTTATGAGAGCGAGTGAATTATTTTTTATTGGATTTTCCATTGCATCATGACCAACCCAAAGATAGGACACACACAAAGAAACAAGCGCACAGTCATACGTCAGCGTCCCAGGTGCTTCTCGGCAGAGTTTATAAGCGAAAGATTTGCAACATCAGACTTAATATTAGATTCATTCATCTCTTCCATAGCATTCTACTTCTAGACCAGATCACTCTGCCAATCTGCGAGCACTGTATCCATAAAGCACGTGGTAATAACTTGGATCGCTTCACTTGATGTCTCCCAGTGGGGTTCTGCCTCTTTGGTTTCTTTTCTTCCCTCCTTCCGTTATGGTTTTAACTAGGCATAATCTTGGTACTGCCACATCGAGTTTTCTCTGAGCAAGAACAGGTGAGGAGCCCTGTTTAGTCAGACGCCTCTGATGTCAGTGCTACCCATGCATCACACTCGATTCAGAGAGTTTAATCTGCAACAATAACCTTCTGTCTTCAGAGAAATTGCTTTCTGGGGCCGTAAAGTAAACAGGCAAAAGGTGTTATTCAGCATATTGAGAGAGAGTTGTGAACAGGAAAGGGTGTGCGTAGACAAGACATGAATACAACGAACAAGAAAAGGAGGGGGAAAGGCCGAGTAAACGGGGTGCAGACAATCGCAAACTGACCTTTCAGTCAAAGAACACACAGACAGATATTGAATGAGTCTCATTGTATTGGGAGAATGAAACTGCTGGCTTGTTAAATGCTGTGGCATATGGATATTTTATCTTCCTCTGCCTTTAATTGCTTTACTGTCAGACTGTTTCCCCCTTGAATTTCTTTTTAGGGAGGCGAGATGGAAATAAACTTGAAGTCGTCTTCAGGAGGAGAGGCTTGACTGAGGCTTGATCTCTCAAACAACATGGGCCCCTCCTTTAAAGGGTTACTCCACCCCAAAATGAAAATGTTGTCATTAATCACTTACCCCATGTTGTTCAAATCAAACAGCATATCCGTGTGGTGCGGCTGACACAGAACAGCGTACGCAGTTTGCGTCCAGCAGATATTCTCCAAAATGGCGCTACGCTGAAGCAGAGGAGACGACTTGTTGAATAAAATCGTTATTTTTGTTTTCTTTGTGTACAAAAAGTATTCTCGTAGCTTCGTAAAATTATGGTTGAACCACTGATGGCAGACTATTTTGACGATGTCTTTCATACTTTTCTGGGCCTTGACAGTGTTAATTGTTTGGCAGTCAATGGGACAGTCACAAGCCTCCCGGTTTTCATTCAAAATATCATAAATTGTGTTCCGAAGACGAACAAAGCTTTTACAGGTTTGGAACGACATGGGGGTAAGTGATTAATGACAAAATTTTCATTTTGGGGTGGAGTAACCCTTTAAGCCGTCTTCAAGTTGCATACCGCCTGACCTTTAATCTGATGCATAAACAAGAGGCTGGGGAAAGCGATCCCTCATCATCCTCCCCTCATACTCCACCGCCTCCTCACCCACCTCCATTGTTTGGCTTACGGGTGCATTTGTTCTAATTGTCGCCGCTTTATTGACGCAAATTGCTGCCGGTCTTTGTGAGGTCTTGTTTAGCCAGGCACCGTGGCTGACGTTGATGCATGCCTGGAGGTATTTATAACCCACACGATACCTGATGTCAAGCATGCGCTGAGACTAATCATGTGCGGGGGTGTTGGAGTGTTCATGGACTCCACCGAAAAGATTTATCTTCTTTTGTAAGGGAGGATTGAATAGGGAGAGTAAACGAGATGGGCGGCCGCCAGCACTTAACGCACATGGGTGCTCTTTTACGATTCCAACTGCTAATTTTTCAGTGCCACTTTTGCAGGAATTTCACACCAGATGGTCCAAAGACACCAATTGTAATTGAACTGCTGCATATCTGGTCTTAAGTTCTCCAGTTCATCTAATAGCATTTTCATTTGAACCTCATTTCATGAGTATAGCGACTTGATCTGGTTCAGCTTAGTTCCTCTACAACAATTCCATGTTTTAATTGTTTGCCAATCTTGTAATTTCCTAATTTCCATATGACTCATAGTGGTCTTGTCCACATCTGTGGTTGTAAAAGTTCACTTTTCATTTTCTAAATTGATGTCTTTAACCACAATGGAACATCATTGGAGGTTGGTCATTTGGTTTGTTTAATGGGTTGATCACAAGCCTCAGCTGGTTACCGAACTGAGTGACTCAGCTTATGGTCGCTTTAACCTTTCCAGGGTCTCGCTTAGGCATTTATGACCAAATCTCTGCTGTTTGTTTTGGAGTCAGAGGATTCAGAGGAAGGCTGTTCCTAGGCAGGAGGATTAAACTAATGGAACCATCCCTGTTCATCTCCTAATGGATAAAGAAGGGAATAGATACAACACAGGCTTTAATAGGAGTGTAGAATGATGGTTTAGTGTCAGGACTGGAGTCCACCGTCTCCTGAAAAACAAGCTGTAATCCAATCATACGGCTAAATCTTTGATGTTAGCCATGCCTGTTACATGCTACTGCAGATAGTTTACATCAGAATTAGGTTTCCTAATGAAAAAATAGTGTTATGAATAAGATTAGAGCGTATTTATTTGCAGATATCCCGTCTATTGTTCTTTCTACCAAAGCTTTGTTTGCCAGTTTCCTCTGTACTGCTCAAAGCTTGTTAGCGTTTCTCTTGCCGTGAGCATAGACACCAAGCGCATTGCCACCCGATGCTAATGTGTAATCACACGTTTACAGGAGCTAATGGACAAATTAATTTCCCCTCACAGATGTGTGGTAATGGCAGAGTGATTTGTTCGTTTCTCTCAGGCTTTGACTGCTTTGTGTGGAAGTTGCAGCTGAGAGTGGTCATCAAAAGTCTACAAACTTTGTCTATGACAAATGTCTACGATTACTGCAATTGAATCTCATCACACACACTCGGATATTATTTGAAGTATACAAGACAGCAAAGAACTCATGTCTCGTATACAGTTTCCTCCAAATGTATCGTCCTTAGCTTTATTCATCCTTCATCCGCTTGATGTTTCTTTGAGAACAGTTTTTTTTTTTTTTTTTCCAAGTTTCTACTTTTTCTAAAATGTCAGTAAATGTCAGTGGATGAAGTTGATACACTTTGCACATTTTATGATGTTATCAAATGGCATTTTAAAAAAATCTTACTTTTAGCCCAAAACTCTCGTATTGATAGCATCTCACTTTTAAAAATGGATTTGAAACGCTTTCCTGTGCCTGTTTTAGTGGATTATTATACTTGGTAATGATGAGTACACTATTTTAATGGACACATATAAGATTTGGCCCTTGAAAAAGCAAGTAGATTACCTGCCTGTATTTGCAACACCAAATGCACGGCTCAATGATTCGCTTAATTTACAACACTTCTATTTTCTCCGCCTTGCAAATGCATTTGATGGCCTTCAAGCTCTTCCACCACCACATATGAATATAGGAATGGGGCGTTAAATGAAGTAAAGCTAATACAATTGATTCTAATGGCTGCATGGAACAACAGAACAAGGATGTTCAGTCATCACCACTCATACGATTCTTATTCGGCTCCATTTGGTTTTTATGGCAGGCCATTTAGCGGCAGTTTTAATGAAGGGTGATTGGCAATGTGTCGGAGTGGCCATTTCAGTCAGTGGGCTGTTCCTGCTTGCGATCTACAATTATGAGCACATTTAGACCAGACATCTCATCTTAAGTAAGCTATCAGCGTCAGTGGAGGCTTAGCCACCTGTATCAGCTCCCCACAGAGATGACATCTCCGTAATTCATCCGTATGCTGAATTGCCAATCCGTATGCTGTTCTTTTATTTTTTTTCTTGGTGTTCCATATTTTTGCACGCTTAATGTTTTACCTCTTTGTGTTCTCAATGAGTTTTTTTCACCCCTTCTTTGAGGATTTCCTTCCTCAGTTCTCCCTCGCTCGCTCTCTGTATAAATTAGCTGTATTATCAGACAGGATGTTGTATCATAATGAGGGGTTTGTCACCAGCAGCCCGTGTGGTGGAGTAGATAAAAAGCGGGGCTTGATTAGCGGGACGAGGCATATTGATTCCTATTGACTGTCACTTTCCCCAGCTCTTAATGAAAGGAATGCAAATGAGTCTCTCTGAGTTCTCTAAAGGGGCGCAACGCTGAGATGTGGGCCTTTGACTCTCTGTTGTAGGAGGGACATGTATCATTGGCCATGGTTCACTGGGGAGTCCTTTGCGGAAACGTTTGGTCCGTTTCATGTTCTCAAGATGCCGGTGAGCGCAAGCCAAATGTGGAAAAAGTAATGGACTGTGTCCGTACGTGTAATTTAGCAAAATGGATAGGGGCACATGGGCTCAAATGGTGCTTGTGCTATTGATTCAGGAAACAAGCTGTATTCTTGTAAGGATTCGAGCTGTACTGTGCCTTATTCAAGTGCTATCGTCTGTAGTGTACCATCTGGTCTTTGTTCTTCTCATGTTGATGTCAGGACCAATGGTGATGTCGTAAATGTTTTTTCTTCTCTCCTCTATAGCAACCGACTGGCACCCAGCAACCATGACCGGATACAGCGTCTACGACAAGAGTTCCAGCAGGCCAAGCAGGAGGAGGAACCTGATGACCGCCGTCGATCCTACAGCTTTCAACAACAACAGAGGGTGAGTGTGCAAGACTACTGGATAAACCTCAGCTTAGCATGTGCACCCTTACCCTGACCCTTAAAGCTTCCCAGCATGCACCTCTGCAAAAGTAGCACTTTATCTCTCTCATCTCATTACGCAGGCTACACCCTACGGAGATCACATTTGTCAGCTGGATACATCATCGGGGGTGTCTCATCTCAGAAAGTAACCATTATAAAACATACATGTACTGTAATTTCTTTTTTTTGGAATGTAATGGTTACTTTTCTGAAATGAGCCAATGTCAATGACGTATGTGGCCGACAAATGCAAACTCTTCCAAATGAGTCCCAGCATTTAAGTCAGCCTGGTGTTTGGTGTTCAGGGCAAAGAGTGACATGTATTATAATGAGATATTGTCAAGGATCTCAGATAACGCATGAATGGTGTTTGTTCTGTGAGGTGGGGGGAAAAAGTGCATTTGTTGTTAGCTTGCATATCACAAGTGCATCTCACAGTTTATTTGCCCCCAAACTTGCTTGTATTTGTTAGGTCTGCACAGAGGTGAATGTGTTTTAACATTGTGTCCTTGAAAGTCAGTGCTTCATTTTATTAACCGAGGTTAGAGGCTAGCCGTTATTTTATCTTTATCAACAAGTTAAAATAATATACAATGCTCAAGAGGCTGGGAAAGAAGTTGCAAGGGGTCAAAGTTCAAATAGCTGTGTATCTTTACTCTGTAATGGCCTGAGCCAGACATGGCGGCATGTCCTATGACTTCCTGTTAAGGGTATGGAGGGGGATTTTAAAAGATGACAGGCTAATTACCTCGAGGAATAGAACCATTTCCTAAATTAGAGGTCAGCTCTCTGACCCTGTCTTCTCTGACACATATTTGGCCTCCATTTTCCTCTCAGGTCTTGAATAGCTCTACAGAGATTAGAATGTGTTAAACTCAATTAATGCATTAATGTTCTGTTTCACTCAGATCAGTGCAGAGAGAAAAAAAAATCTGCATCTTAGACAGAAAGATTAATGATGGAGGCATAATGAAAATGCAATCGCTTAAAAGGTGAAGCATTTATAAAATATTGCAAAGGTTTTTCGCAAATCTGTAATGGAAACTCGGCTACTGACACATGCTGGGGTCTTGTGGTTTGTTGCCATGGCATTGCTAGGGCATTCTGGAATGTTGCTGAAATATTGCTTGGTGTTTGCTTGTGTGTTCTGGGTGGCTGAAGAATGTTACATGGAATGTACGGTAGAATATTGTTACGTGGTTGCTAGAGCGTTCTTGGTGAATGCTGGGATGCAAAGTTGTATTTGGTGTTTGCTAGGTGGCTGCTAGGGTGTTGCTAGGGTATTCTGGGTGGATGCTAGGTAGGTTGTTTCCTGGGTGATTGCAAGGGTGTAGTGGGTGTTTAATAGGTTGTTGCTAGAGTTTTATCAGTGGGTCCAAGAGTATTCTGAGTGGTTGCTAGGATGTTGCTAGGTAGGGTGGGTGTTCTGGGTGATTGTAGGGATGTAGTGGGTTTTTATAGATTATTGCGAGGTTTTTTTTGGTGGTTGTTATGGTATTCTGAGTGATTGGTAGGGTATTATGGATGGTTGCTAGGTAGGTTGTTGCTAGTTTTTTCTTGGTAGTTGGTAGGGTATTCTGAGTGGTTGCTAGGTAGGTTGTTGCTAGGGTGTTCTTGGTGGTTGGTAGCGTATTCTGAGTGGTTGCTGGGTGGTTGCTATGGTATTCTGGGTGGTTGCTAGGGTGTTCTGGATAATGTCGAAGGTGTGCTGGGTATATGCTAGGGTGCTATGAGTGATTTCAAAGGTGTGCTGGGGGGGTTGCTAGAGGTTGCTAAGATGTTGCTAGGTGGCTATTTACTGGCTCAAGTCAAAAGTGCCCAGCCCCAAGTCTCTAGAAATAAGTTGGATCTGTCTGTGTATGGGTTTTTAATCAATGCTAATGACAGATATTTAATAAATAAATATACTTAATGACAGTTCATTTTTGCCCAGTTATGACAGCAGGTAAATCTCAAGTGAGTGTTTCACTTCAGAAGTACACATGGTCTCCTAAGCAACGACTTTTATACTTGGAGACATGCACTAGCTTTTATTTGACATAGCCTTAGCTGGTCTGTTTGCAGTATGAATGAATCAAAACCTCTCTTGGTACCTGATGGTGTCACATTGTCTGGGCTTCTAGTACAGGAAGTAAAAGCCCTGTTGTTTGCACAGCGCCAAACCAGAGGAGTCAAGCTAGAAGCCACCTAATTGCGTGTGATAGTTTACATTGTTTAAGGACTAGAGACATTTTCCGTAATAGAGTACACTCCCTCCCACGAGTGTCTCAAGTCTACTGTATTAACAGCTGACGGGTCGGCTTCTCAGTTTGGACAGGACTGGTTTCAAATAACAAAACATGTTAGGTGGGACCCAGGGAATGCCTTTGAGTCTTTCAGGGTATTATTGCGAGGTTTTTTTTGGTGGTTGTTATGGTATTCTGAGTGATTGGTAGGGTATTATGGATGGTTGCTAGGTAGGTTGTTGCTAGTTTTTTCTTGGTAGTTGGTAGGGTATTCTGAGTGGTTGCTAGGTAGGTTGTTGCTAGGGTGTTCTTGGTGGTTGGTAGCGTATTCTGAGTGGTTGCTGGGTGGTTGCTATGGTATTCTGGGTGGTTGCTAGGGTGTTCTGGATAATGTCGAAGGTGTGCTGGGTATATGCTAGGGTGCTATGAGTGATTTCAAAGGTGTGCTGGGGGGGTTGCTAGAGGTTGCTAAGATGTTGCTAGGTGGCTATTTATTGGCTCAAGTCAAAAGTGCCCAGCCCCAAGTCTCTAGAAATAAGTTGGATCTGTCTGTGTATGGGTTTTTAATCAATGCTAATGACAGATATTTAATAAATAAATATACTTAATGACAGTTCATTTTTGCCCAGTTATGACAGCAGGTAAATCTCAAGTGAGTGTTTCACTTCAGAAGTACACATGGTCTCCTAAGCAACGACTTTTATACTTGGAGACATGCACTAGCTTTTATTTGACATAGCCTTAGCTGGTCTGTTTGCAGTATGAATGAATCAAAACCTCTCTTGGTACCTGATGGTGTCACATTGTCTGGGCTTCTAGTACAGGAAGTAAAAGCCCTGTTGTTTGCACAGCGCCAAACCAGAGGAGTCAAGCTAGAAGCCACCTAATTGCGTGTGATAGTTTACATTGTTTAAGGACTAGAGACATTTTCCGTAATAGAGTACACTCCCTCCCACGAGTGTCTCAAGTCTACTGTATTAACAGCTGACGGGTCGGCTTCTCAGTTTGGACAGGACTGGTTTCAAATAACAAAACATGTTAGGTGGGACCCAGGGAATGCCTTTGAGTCTTTCAGGGTATTATAAGAAGGGCAAATTTCCTGAAGACCGCGGTTTAGATGTCAAGCATGACTTTTTTTCGACGGCACCGTTGCTGTACCCAAGTTGTGTCAAGGGGATGTTGAAATACAGGCACATGCTGGTGGTAGTTTTTTGTGAGGGAAAACTCCCTCCAGCTTTGAAAAGGTGGGAGAAATTATGCTAAAAATACTCCGGCTTAGGTTTTGTGTATTGTATGGCATGTTGGGCCGACACAACCAATAAATGGTTATTACAGCACTAAAAGCTTGTGTCAAACAATAGCGGAGAGGTGTGTGTTAAGGATGGAACAAAGTATTCAAGTCCCAATGTCTACAGTGGTTACGGTTCTGCTAAAAAAGAAGTGTAACGCTACGTTTTCACATCCTAAAAGAATCAGGTGGTCCAGGTGTTTTATCCCTGGATTGCATTAGAATCACACACTCCATCTAAGCGAATACAAACAGGCTTGATGTTGATTTAGGGTCTGAGAGGGCCCACGAGCGCTGTGGTCCTGTTGACTTGTAGAAATATACAGCCGTCAGTCGTAACAGCAGGTTGAGAGAATGATGGTTAAGCAGGGTAAGAGAGCGCAAGGGAGGCGTTTGTAGCCATAGCAGTCTTGTTGATACTGCTGCCATAAGCTTGATATAATGACGTTATAAAACTGTCAAAATAAAGCTCCTCTGAGAGCATCTAGAATTTTTTGGGGGGTGATGTGATGACACAGCCGAAAACTTGTTCAACATCAGATGAGTAATGCAACATTTTTATAAAGTGCCATTGAATTGCCATAACATTTTGGATATGATCACTAATGATATTACCATTACATACATACATACATTCATTATTTATATTTTATGTTGAGATACAATGGGTTTTTGACATGGACTTTTTATATTGTAATATGCATGTAATAGTATTCAAAAGTGTGATGGAATCCCATAGTGGTTTTTATGTAGTTTCTATATGTTCAATAGCAATATATTAGCAATAATATTTCTCTCAAGTTGCCATACTTTTCTTGATGTCTACCATAGTTAGACAATTTTGTTGTTGTTGTTTGAATGCCACGTTTATGTCAATGATACTGTGTTTGTTTGTTTGATTTCTTTCACAAATACCATGGTAATACTGTGGCATTCTGAATTTTTATTTGAAGTACTTTTTAAATACAATGGTATGTGATAATCATACAGTATCATGGTATGCTATTATCATTTGATGCCATCACTGTACTACAGTATTGCATTTTGCATTTTTTATGGCTATGAAAAGCAATTATATAATTGCCATTTGTGACCACCTAGCTACAGGTACTCAGCACATTTTGGAGGTTTCTTTAGCATTTCAAAGCCTGCCGGTTGTTATTTATAGCTTTGATTATAAATACCGTACATTACACCATTTAGAAATGTCCCACAAGTGCAACAGAAAATCAAAGTGGCATGAAACAATGATTGATTGCCTTTTAAATATGTAGCTATGTGGTAAAACTCCCAACTTTACATCAAACGCCTCTCATTTCTTTATGAAGAAAAATGGGTAAGTACACCCCAGATAATCCTTCAAACCCAGCGTGAGTTCTGACACCACGAGACGCACATTAGGACAGTGATTAAGGTGTGTTCTCAGCGTTCACAATCCCCCCG